AGAAATGTTCGGTGATGTTTCTGATGACCAGGTAACCGTTTAAGAGATCTGGTCTTTTCAAACCATTTTGCGTCACACATATTTATTCTCATGTCACTTCATCATAAACAGCGTCTACTTAAAATCGCTTACACGTCTGTTGTCTTTAATTTAAATTTAAAACAATCTCTTCCTACTTATCTCAGTGTGAAAAATTGCTTAGCAATTAAAAATGTCTTATTTAGCCTATGTTAATATCATTAGTTATATAGTGTAATTACAGCACGTGATGATATTAAGAAATCAATATATATATGAAATAAAAATAAATACAAGTTACATCCTCCAGACCCCTTTCTTTAACATCATCATCATATCTACACCTGCTTCTCGTAAGTGATCTCTTCCCTTTAGCTTTTCCGACTAAATTCGTGCGCCTCTCTCATTTGCCCATGCGTAATACGTGGTCTGTTCAAAAGTTTCGGAACTTTTGAAATAGTGCACCAACTCGACGTCTTAGCAATGTCGGATAAGTTTTGTTGCCTAGTGGCGTGCTTCCTAATTATCATCCTTTCTGCCGCGCCATCCTGCTGTGATTAATCATCACCAAGGACCAGATTTTGATGACATGTCATCTTTTTTTCCTTGTATCCTATGCGATGCTCTTAAATATATAAATCTCGGATATGAGCTGCTGCTTACAGAAATGTAAATTTTATAGGTAATTTTTTGTATTTTTTTTACTTTTTAGGTTTAAGGTAATTTTTTGGTAAATTTTTGGACTTTTAACGGTATTTCTTGTCATTTTTGGCCATTTTAGGGAATTTTTCTGGCTTTTTTCGGTCATTTTTTAAATATTTTCAGGGCATCAAAATCCGGGCCCTACATATTAAATTTTTGGGTCATATTTTAGGTAATTTTTCTGGATTTTTTCGGTCATTTTTTAAATATTTTCAGGGCATCAAAATCCGGGCCCTACATATTAAATTTTTGGGTCATATTTTAGGTAATTTTTCTGGATTTTTTCGGTCATTTTTTAAATATTTTCAGGGCATCAAAATCCGGGCCCTGGTCATCACCTTAGAGGTATTTGTTCACGTGCGTGTAGAGTGTGTCTTGCGATATTCTAAATGGCTACTATTCATGAGCAGCGTATTAACATTAAAGTCTGCTTCAAATTAGGGAAAACGTTTATGGAGACTTATGAAATGCTGAAAAATATTTATGGTGATCAGTGCATCCATCAACGTCATGTGACGACGCTCATGTTGCGCAAGTCTGTGAAAACGTGCTTTCCAAACGCAGTTTGACAGTGCGGGAAAGAGCAGAAGAGTGCAACTTATCGATAGGATCATGTTATGGCGTTCTTACGACAAAAGCAGAAATTTATCGGGTAATTTCAAAGTTTGTTCAACGACTTCAGACACAGGATCAACGAGACATTTGCGTTGCCATCTGTCAGAAATTTTTGGCTCGCGCTAACGAAGAAAAAACTTTCTGAAAAGAATTATAACCGGCGATGAAACACGAGTTCATGGATACGATATGGAAATGAAAATGCAGTCTTCACATATGGTTGGGAAAAATTCGCCAAGACCGAAAAAGGCGCGGAGGGTCAGGTCGAACATGAAAGTCATGTTGACGGATTTTTTTTATATATCGATGATGTTGTGCATTATGCATTGTTACGTTAGGGGCAAACAGCGAATCGCTGGTAATATCTCGAAACGATGAGACGTCTGATAGAAAATTTCAGGAGATAAAAACCTTAGTAGTGGAGAAGCAACTCCTGGTTCCTCCGTCGTGACAATGCTCCAGCTCATGCCTCGCTACTGATTCGTGACTTCTTGGCCAACATGAATACAACTGTGCTTCCTCAGCCACCCTACTCACCTGACCTCGCTCCGGCAGACTTTTTCTTATTCCCCAAACTGAAATCCACTTTGAAAGGACGATTTCAGGCTATTCAAGAGTTTACGGAAAATTCGCAGACCGCGACCCAGGAATGTTTCCAGAAGTGGCAACGGTGTTGGGAGCGATACATCAATGCAGGAGGGGAGTACTTTGAAGACGATAAGGCTGACCCAGTCGCAGGCATCCAAAAAAAATAGTTCCGAAACTTTTTGAATAGACCACGTACATGCCTCGCCCATCTGATCCTCTTTAATTTGTTCGTCCTAACAATCCTTTGATGAAAAGAACAAAGTATTAAGTATGCAACGTTCCCCAGCCTCCTACCACTTCCTCCCTCTGCAGTCTAAAAATTTTCCTTGTCATTTTGTTCTCCATGTCCTTCGTTTAGTGCGTGAAACCAAGTTTCAAACCCATATAGAATAAGATGTAAACCTGTAATTTAGAGAAAATGTTATACTAATCTGTGACGTGAACACTGAGAGTTGGTTAGAAACACGATATTACTAAGGCTTACTGGTTACCGTTCGTTGCTATAACGTAGACTACAAATCCGAGCATATCAAATAGTAGAGCACACGAAGGGAAATGAAGGTTTTCGAAAAAGATATTAAAAAATGAATGGATAGTTCCTATTGTTAAGTTTTGCTTTTTAAGATTACTGTATTATTGGTATGTGACACCGTGTAGTTAGGTGGATAAGTACTAGCATTTTAGAGGAACCTTTTGCTTCCACCTTCAGATACTTTCAAAACGTTGATATGTATCTCTCAAAACATATGACGTTACTTCCAAGAAGACAGAACCTCAAATGTCACTTCTTGTCTTCCATTCACATATCAGATTACATTGCCAATGTTTGTAATTTTGTATTTTTGATTATCAAGCGATGTTCCCTCAAGAATGGTTTTGAAGAGCTGACCTCATCGTGGATCAAACATCTCATTTAGTATTATACAACATTATCACTGTATTGGATACCAGTTCGAATATTCACTACAAGATACACATAACCTTGAAAAACAGTAGCTTTAGGATTTGGGAGTCCTACCCTACGAATGTTTTTCTCGTTCCCAGTTTCCGTGGTCCTGTATAAGAGCAGATAGACAAATAGCATAATTCAGTGCTATTTATTTTCTTAACGTTACATACCGTAAAAGGACAGTCTTATCATGTTTTATGTCCTTATCATTTGTTCTTCCACATACACGTATGTTTATTCTTTCTTTGCCACAAATCTGTTTTAAGCATCTTTGAGAGTACGTCGTACCTTGAACGCGAAATCTTCTGAAGTAAAGGCTTGTCTATTCGGCGAGATCTTCGGCAGGGCGATTTTTGTTCCGTGTACATACTGAAAATATAATCTAGTAATTTTCTAATGATGACTTGAAGCACCCCCTCGTTGGTGTAACGGTCTGCATCACTACCCGTTGATGCAAACTCAAAGATATTTTAGATGCGGCACAGCAAAATGGCCATCTTTGGCCAGGATTTTCTTAAAATACAATGTACGAAAATAATAAAGTTGTTCTTTATTATGACAAGCTTATAAATACACAATCCCATCTACTAATTTCCTATTGTAACTGCCATGACGCCTCATAGTGGTCACTTTATGAATTAAAATACGCAACATCAATGAAAATATACATTACTAGATTTTAACTTGTCACGTAGGACTATAAAGATCATTGCTGTTCGGGATGTGACATCGTGTAGTGTGGTTGATCACTATCGATGTTTCGGAATAACATGCTACCTCCATCTACAAAGTGGAAAAGTTACTAATCCATACGGCATCACATCCGAGAAAACAGTAATCTTAAACTGTAAACACGTTACAATATATTAAATTTTGATGAGTAAACAACAAATCTGACGAGACAATTAGTCCTGATTCGTTTTTAGTCATAACATCAGATTCTCGAAAATTAGTTCAACGTTGTTAATAAGCGTGCATCACACTTGTTAATTTGAATTAACTGACAGGTAAGAAACACCTTAGAGATGTCCTACTGTACTATCGGAGGGAACACCTCGTAATTCTTAGTGCTCAAATGCATGTCGCCAATGTGGTGTCAAGAGAAGCAGATATGCTGGAGCAACAATGGAAGCGATGATATAGATGCTGCAGTTTTATCTGCTTGTAGATTTTCCGAAAAAATGTACGAATACAGCTTTTCTTAAATATTATACTGCGAAAAGTGATATACATAGGTATGTAAACACTCGAGCGAAAAAAATATATTGTTGGGTTCACTGGATCCTATTGTACGTCAACAAAGACCACAATTCCTGCACAAATGTCTATAGCAGTCAGATTTATTCTTGAAAGAGATAAACGCAATTAAGTTAAAACTGCAGCACCACTGATTTCGTTATACAGTACAAAGTAATGTAACCTCTTTGGAATAATTATTGGGTATATTTCTTGAGAAATATTAGACTTAAAAGAGAGTTGGAAGCAAAAGCCCAAATTTTATGCCGGATTTTACAAACCTCTATAATTGATCTAATATAAAGCCAGTAATGATATGAGTTTATATGATTTTCGACGCGCACGTGTTTTCTCCATGAAAGACAGCAAAAATTATTTATTAAAAATCCTTAAAAAATATTGTTTTGAATAAAATACGGCAGCCTCAGGACAATGTACACGTTGCAGTTAGCTTAATACATAATTCACGTAAAATAGTGTTCGAGGTCCGTCAGAAATTTGTGTAACAAAAGATATTGCATAACCGTTTATCGTACAAATCGGACCCTTGAGACAGTATCCTAAAATACTTTCTGCCTTCCTAATGTCTGCATTCTCGTGAACATTTGTCCTGCAATCATTGAGCTTGTTTCAAATTATTGACATGTTTTAACGTGATATGGTTATTTCCTTGAACTCTGATTCAAGCCATTTGCTCTTCAGACCCACTGTTACAATCGAATTGCTTGATATTACACAAATCAAACTCACACTACTGACATGTATTACAGTGTTCAAAACAAATACAAAGATGGGGGGGAGTGAAAATGTTACACTCCCCATCCCATTGCCTCCAGATTCACTATTGGCTATTAATTTTCATCACTGACGAGAAATTACAACACATTCTTACCTTTCTCTTTCCATCATGTTAACTTCTTTTTATATAATAACTAGGATGAGAAAACCGAAGCCAGGATTTCGTTTGTGAAAACGAGAAACTCAAATGTCGGTATTCCTTTACACCCAGGTAGCTGTGTTGAAGCCAAAGTTCATAACAAAGCTTTATTTATAACACAAAGATGATTCTCTCTCTCTCGCTCTCAAACGGTCACTGGGTGCACGTGCACTGGCATAACCCCGAGTAAAAATAGTAGCTTATTGGTTCATCTGATAGCTTAAGTAAATCTTGTCAAAACTCTTAAGAATCCGACAAGTGTCCACTAGCACTTATATTCATATTGCTTACTGACGTATTAGTGGTGTGCTAACATTTGAATTCTTTCAACAATTACTTTGCTTACATTGTCACGTCCTTCCTTTCGAGTCCACCCATATCAGAAACACGGTTCCCTTTTCGAAGATCATTCACCAGTTACGAGCGAGAAAAACGAAGTGCTGGTCCATGAACCTTTATCCTGAACCATCACTTCCATTTACGTGTGCGCATGTGCGCATTCTATGTGTATATTTAGTATATAAACTAGATAGAAGTCGCGCTGAGGAAACTTCCATCTGGCAGCAGTGCCATACACTTTTTACAATCTAGCACAGATGCTCAGCCTGTATGCCCCACTTCTGACCTTCTGTACTATTCTTCGATTCTTGAGTGCAGTCTGCTAACTCGTATTAGACAATGTTTTGTGGTTACATTCCAAAGCATAAAGACTAATTGGTGACAAATGTTGTTCCAGTCATTACACAGTTCGTGCTTTGTACTTGAGAAAGAATATTTTTTATCAATGATAATCTATTGTTTTATTAGAATTCCGTAGTTCCTTTATGGATGGAAGCAAATTCACGTGGTTTTCTCAACGCATCAGTTACTTCAGTATATTAATATTCCAGCCGGTGATACATACTGTGAGCTTCAGAATCGTTTAAAGTGACACTGATAACCAGGGCCCGGATTTTGATGACCTGAAAATATTTTAAGAATGGCCTATAAAATGACCGAAAAAAATCCAGAAAAATGGCCTAAAGGAGAAAGAGAAAGAACACTTCGCTTCCATATTATTCACATTTCAGAAAACATATGAAGAAAAATTTCCTAAAATGGCCAAAAATGACAAGAAATGCCCTTAAAAGCCCAAAAGTTTACCAAAAAATTACCCCCAAAATAAAAAAAAATGACAAATTTACATTTCTGTAACCAGTATCTCATATCCGAGATTTATATATGTAAGAGCATCGCATAGGATACAAGGAAAAAAAGATGACATGTCATCAAAATCCGGGCCCTGGTGATAACAAATACAGATCATATTTGACATCACTGCTCGTGAGAACTTCATCACATAGTATAAGTCGGAATCGGTGGGGGGGGGGG